ATTATTTAAAGGCATTCTTTTTGTACTCAGCTTTTCTGATTTAACTCTGCACAAACTAGTTAAAAAAAAAAGTGTTAAGATATTTTGTCCACAGAGCCATCTGAGAAGGTAGTTAGCAGGAACTAAGGATTTTAATACCATAAAGATTTTCATAAAGTTGTGCCACAAGAAACACAAACCAAAACACACATAGATCAAGCCTAGGAGAGACCTGAAAGAGTTCTGTACGGCAGTACTGAGCATACTGCTAGCAAGTAAACTTGAAGAAGAAAAAGTTCCTTCACGCTGTTTCCTACTTAAATACAAATCAAGGTTTCAAAACACACACAGAATTTAAATTTAAGACCCTCCTTGAGAGTTTCTTGTCTCACACACTAGGTAAGCTCTCATAGCCTTACCATGGATCAGGTGCCATAAAATTAAGTCTCAACACTGCAAGTGATACCCTCCAGTGATTCGCGGCTGGATACCAGACTCGCTGAGACTGGGTTCACATTAAAAGATTAGCACACAATTAAAAGGGAAAAGTGCAGGCTCTGTGTTAGAAAGCTCTAATTCAGACAGGCAAATCAAGACCTGCCACATTTTCAGCGCAGCATTCTAAGCAGTATGACCAATCATGAGAACAAAACCCACCAAAACCAAAAGACATTGTCATGCCTATTAACTTACACAGGCCTTTTTGCAGACTTTTTGCAGCCCTTGCCCTGAAAGCGACTTGTGCAATATTTACTATGTCAGAACTCAACTAATTTTTGCAACTGGAATTTGGATGCTAATATCAGTCCATGAAATTGCTCTGTTTTGTGATTGGTTCTGAAAGATTAACCTGGCTCTCTAGAAGCCAAGATAAGCTAACAGAACAAAAGTGAGATTATTAAAAAAAAACCCCACAACACAAAAACCAGTTCCTATCGCTTCAGCACTTTGATACGACTACAGCATACTTCAGTGTAACTTACACAGCAGTATTTAGAAGGCTTTCAGCACACGCAACTATTCAGCTAGTAGCACTATTACTATTGTGTTACTCTTAGAATAACATGAATAGCTTTAGGAATGCTGGTAAAACCATATTTGGGGCTGGGGGAGGAAGGAAGAGAAGGAGTAAAGAAGGAAGAGATTATTCTGTGGGCTATCTCACACCATTAAATGCCTCAAGTATAAGAAGCTCATTCATTTTTTGAAAATGCATTGTCTTCCAACTACAGCTGAGCTACATGGAGGTCACTTTGAGGACTTATGTAGAAAAGTCTTTACCTTCTGTGAAGTAACACTGAAGTTGAGAGGATTCTCCAAAACAGTGCATAAATGAAAGAATGATGACATTTAATTGCATTGCAGTTCAGTTTGGGGTTTGTTTGTTGTTTTGTGTTTTGTTTTTGTTTTTATGATGCTAATAGTATCCCTGAAGGAGGTCAACTGAAAGTAATTCATGTAACTAGAAGAGAAGGATGTATTTCATGTTAAAACATATAGCAAAGTGGGGCGAAAGATAATTTAAAGTGAAAAGGAAGTTCCTTAAGCATTGAAAAGCAAATGAAGACTAGCTTCTCCTCCCATCCAAATTAAGGGCCTAACATAGCCTAAAGGATTATGGTGCAAAACTTATTATAGTGCAAGTATGATGAATATTCCTCCCACCAAGTGTTGACATGAACTGCTCTGGTTTTGCTATCAGATTTTTTTTTTTTTTAAACATGGAAGACTGCAGCAGCACAAAATGACACCACTGATACATCAGTTGTCTTGCTTTTGCTGCTTTTCAGCAATGCATTTATTTTGATAAGGAAAATCCACACACATTAAAATCATTTTTATTTTTCCGCATTTTGACACCAAAAGTGAATGTCTTCTGTTACAATTTTCTAGTATGGACACAAGTTTAGCTATTTGGAGTACTCAAAAAAGCAGATTAAATGGAAAAAAATTAATCTTAACAGGAAAAAAACCCACTATTGCTTTGCTACGAATTACCATGTTTGTCCTAAGTTATTCAGAAAGTAAAGCTTCCCCATAGCTATAGTCTGCACAATAATTGTACCTAGAGTAAAAAGATACTGACTATTAACTAATGTTTGCAGCTTTTTATAAGTAGCACTTTAAGTAGTATGATTTATTGCGATTTTGTACCAAGCAATAAGACTGAAGTCTGTATGCTGCAGATTTAAGCACACCAAAATGTATACATTCACTTTAAAAAATTGTTGCTTATCACTCTCCATTGGTAGTAGTGAAGTCAGCTGCCTG